GGCAAGGAGGTTGTATATATCTGTGATGTGGACAGAAAATTACCTGTGTCAGTTTCTTCATTAATTATCCACAATAAGACTGAAAGGTTGTTTTGTTTCAGATGAAACACGTGCTTATCTGCACTGCAAAATGAACTCATTACAATATGGATGTAGTACGAGACCATCTAGTAAACATATAGACTTAACATACTGTGTATAAAGACTAGATGGTCCAGTTGTTAAGAAAAGCAGCTTATTGCCAGGAGGTTCCCATTTCAAATGAGAGATTTCTACCTCACTCACTACTGTATGTGTCCCCGTGAGTGAGTTAATTTTCTTGTGCTCGGTCTTTCAAATGTGACATAAGTCAAAGTGTTTTAGGTCAGAGTAGAGTTGATTGTTCAATCCATATTCTCCTAATGTTATTTTCAATCAAACCCACAGTTGAATAACAATAGTATTATATATACAGTACTGTATATGATGTATACATGGTTTTTCATAGGAGGATCTATCTATATTTTATAGATTTTTCAAAGAACATATTTTGTTTTATTTACATTAGAAAATGCCTTTTAATTTTATTCTCTGCTGTTCTGTTTTCTCTCTACCTTGCTCTGTCTTAGTCCTTAACTTATTGATCACAATGACTTAATAAAATGTGTGTACAGTATTTTGTTATAGATTGGGTACAGCTTATTGAGCTTGAGACGTTTAGGACTGCACTGAAATATTGCTGACACGTCATGTTTCTTGAAAAAGAAACAAAATAGTTTGAATTTTTAGTTTTAAAAAATAAATGTCCTTTTAAACTTTAGATCAAATTATATTTTTGCTCAAAAGTGCCATGTTTTTTGTTTGCACTTTGGCCTCCTGTTATGGCTTGCAAATATTATTTTCAGTCACCTGACAGTTTTTCTCTCCATTTTTTGCTTTAAAAAAAAAACTTTACTCTGCCCTTCATGGTTTGTTATTTTCTCAGATTTGCTGCTTTATCCTAGTTTTAAAAAGTCACCAGTTTAGAGTGGATAGATGAAGGTCATGGTAGATGTTTATTTTATATGATTAAGGTTTTGCTAGTGTAATTTAGAAACAATACTTAATTTACTGTAAGTAATGTTCTGCACTTCTTTTCTGCTAGTGTTCTGCACTGTGTAGTATAACATTCTTTTGCCTTTCTATAGCACTTCCATGGTTATGAGCATATTTCTGCATTAGGTGACTAGTTTGTTCTCAGTACAAGAAGACTACCGTACATAAATGAAGTTTTTTGTCAGTATCAATGTACAGTAGTTACTGTTTCTTTCCCAATGAACTTTAAACTAAAAAGTATTTTACTTTGGTGATTTGATCTAAATGGAAGAGCCGCAAACATTGGTTCTATTATCCCTTTACCTAACAAAGCCTTATGCTCTTCCACTGGCACATGTTTTCCTCTGTTTTCACCCTGATCTGTGATCGGAGCTCCAAATGGAATAGTGAATCCAATATCATACAGGTATGCAAAGCACTATTACTGTAGATTAAAATTGAGTTATTTGTCCCTACAGCTAGAGAATAATTCATTAGGGGATTTATAAGGCAGTTAGGTCAACTATAGGGCAAGAAGCGAGTGAGCGCATGAAGGAATTGATTTTGACACACAGGCCTAAGGCAAGTACTATATAATTAATAAGTTTAATTAAAAATCGCTGTTGGCTGGGATTTCATATTTGTGTATGAGGTCTCTCTGTGACAATGCAAATGACCAACAGTTATTTAGCTAAGTAAAAGGAATGATTTGCATTATATGGATTTTCTTTTATGTAATAACAGTTGAAAACAGGAGGATGTCATTCAGCCCATGTAGTCCGTATGGTGATTAGAAGCTATGTGATCTAAGGATCTCATGCTGCTGTTTCCAGAAGGAAGCCAAGGCATTGGTTTCTACATCAAAACTGAGAGCTTCTTCTACACTCCACACAAACTTCTGGGTAAAGAAGTGCCTCCTTTTCTCTGAGTTAAATTAACATCCCTCTAGGTTCTGCTTGGATCCTGTGTTTCTTGTTTCACTGTTGATTGTGAAGAAGTCCTTTTGGGTTGACTTTATGCCTTTATTTTGTCTTTAAAAATCTTCCACATTAGTCTAACCCTTCTGTAGGGATGTTTAGGTCTTTCAAACAATGGTCTAAGGTTTTAATTTTGATGCAGTTATTGATGCACGTATTGAATGGTATTTGAGACTGTTTTTCAGTTTTGTAAAAATGTGATGTAGAAAATGTGGATTTTTAAATGTTATTTATAATGTAATTATGCAACATTATTGTATTCTATTGGTTCATTCTAAAAATTCAAAACTAAAAAAAAAATTGTGTTTTTGTTTCTAGTTAGTTTTATAGTAGTTATAATGAATAGGCATTTTTGTTATCACTCAAACAGGTTTGTAGTTTCCCTACTGGAGAGGAGGTTTTGCTTAAAATGCACAATAAATTCTCCAGCCCATTTCTCAGTAAAGGGTGCAGCAGTTCCTGCCAAATAAACGATGTGAGCCATGTCCCTGGAAGAGATCTGAAAGCTCTGATCTTGGTTCGATAATTGAGCCTAAGCACGGTGCCTCAGATGTCAGGGGACTTTGAGTGGTACTGCAAAAGCAATCCACTGTACTTTTACACATGCAGCTTGTATCTTTAAAAGGAAGTAGTCCCTCACTGCTGCTTTTGCCCTTGGAAAACACACTGTTTTTTTATCTAAAGTCATTGGTTATTTAATAGTGATGATGGCTGAGAGAAGGAAGCGGTAAATTACCCTTCGTGTTGACTTTCGAAATGAACTATGTAACTTCTTTCTCACTGCATTGTAAGTACTTTGGGGATATAAAAAGTGGGTTTAACTATAGCAGTTTTGAGAAGTGCTATAGTGTGCTATAGTGCAAGTGTGACATGTTTGCAATGAGTTCTTGGCTATAAATATTTGACGTGGTTTTAAGAGTTGATTTCGATTAAACCATTAATTTTGCAAGGGAAGTGTTACTTACCATCTTACACAGATCATACACTCAAATGTACAGTACTGCTGTGCTATTTTCACTAAGTGATCAGATCAGTAAGTATTAATTTAATAAAGTCACATGTACTTTATGGATTACAACCGAATCATGTCCATGTTGTCTTTAGTTTAGAGTGGTCAATAATGTATTTGTATTCTCATTGTAGCAGATGGTTGGAAGCAGCAGCAGAAATGACTTTAGGCTTAGTGATGTAGTTATACAGACTTTTTAATTGTACCCGTCTTCACATTGATGTTTAATATCCTCCAAATTTGACCATGCAGTAGCTGATGTCAATAGATCCCAATTAAATGTGCAGTCGTATACACTTTTTATTCATTTAAGTTCTTCATAACAATCGCTGTCCTTGACACTAGGATAAAGAGAACTTTAGATGGGACACAGTCACATAATCTTTGACACAACCCCTATTCACTGTGTTTTTATATATGCCTTTGTGTTTAGGAACATGAAGGTTGCAAGTAAGATGAAGCCTATCAGCACATCTATCGTAACTGGTAGTAGCTACAGTATCTGGTCCAGATCTCATTCAGTCATTTCTGGAATTAAACCAGGGTAATATCTTCAACATGGCTGGGTAGCTTGTTCCATGCTATCACAAGCCTTTTTTTTATAGAGAAGTGCCTTTTGTTCTTTTTCTTTTAGTTGCACTGCAACTTAGTTTCCACTTGTGTCCTCTGATTTGTGTTTCAGTGGTGATTCTGAAGAATTCTGAAGAAACAAGTTTGTAGGTTTGAGGTTTGCTGGTTGAGGAGGTCTTGATTCATATGCTCAATAAAAGCTTATTTGTTAATGCTTTGAAGATTTAGAATACTTAAATCAGGTTCCCTCGTAGCCTCCTCTGTTCAAGACTAAAAACGTTCAACTCCTTCAATCTGTCCTTGTAGGAGAATGTACTGCATGTGGTTGATTTTCTCTAGTCCAGAACTAATATACTGTACATATCCAATATACCTACAATTCAAACATGTGTTAACCAAACAGTTTAACATAACAAGCTTGTTACGCTTTTAAATTTGTGTTCTAACATTTTGTTTACCTTTTTGACTTCCTAACATTATCAGACAGATGTAAAAAATGTGTCAACATAACCACCTACATTTTTTTTTATAGGTAGCTCAGTATTTTCCATTTTGTATTCATAGTTTTGTTTTTTCTACATGCATATAATAGTTTTTGTATCTCTGTTGTATTCAGTAGTATACATTATACCATCTGCCAGATGTTTTGAAGTTCATCTAAATCTTTTTAAATTTAATTTGCTGCTTCTCTAGTGCTTAGCAATCACCCTTCTATGATATCAAATACTTGAACAGTAAATATAGAAAAATCTATATACATTATTTTAAATAAAATATTTTTTTTTATATAACTTAGGTAGAGCTTTTGGTGGCCATCGATTGGCCTGGTGAACAGGTGTTATTTATCTACAACAGCTAGAAAATCAGGACAGATATCAACAACAGCAATAATAATAATAATAATAATAATAATAATAATAATAATAAAACAGCAGATCTCTTTTGAGCATTATATTATATGTAAGTCTGGAAAGTGTAGGTTATGAACTGTTCAGTGAATATTACTTAAATTTAGTTATATGTTATAATTCAATGTGATTATTTGTTCTAAATTAAACGGAATTATTGTAAAAATAAATTGATATTTTTTAGAACATGTACTGTATAGATTTTTAGTGACCTCCTTAGAAAGTTGCAGTATCTGACAGAATTATTTGAATGATACTTTGGATCACATCATTATTGTTCTCAAGTATTTTATTATTTTAATTATTATTAATTTTTATTTACATTTATTTTTTCCCCATCGTAGTATGTTATAACTCACATTTTCTTCATCTTTCCTTTCCTTGTGTAATTAGCACAGAAAGGTAATGAATCTCTGTCCTCATCTCAGTTTCTGCTTGGTTTTGCTTGCCAGTGTGTTTAACTCTCCCATGTCTCTCCTTCAGGTGATGTCATTGTCTATATCAATGATGTCTGTGTCCTGGGTCACACACACGCGGATGTGGTCAAGCTCTTCCAATCGGTTCCGATTGGTCAGAGTGTTAGCCTGGTGCTATGCCGTGGATACCCTTTGCCCTATGATCCCGAAGACCCTGCTAGTAGCATGATATCTCCCATGGGGATGATGGAAAGACCACCTGTTTTGGTGAATGGAAGAAGTAACTATGACAATTACATGGAGTACCTTTCACGGACCTCTCGATTTATGCAGGACCACACAGAACAACTGCCCCAGCAGTCCCTACCCCCCCACCCTGGGGACACTCACCTAGATGGCCAGCTGCCTCCCCCTATACATGAGGATAATGTATCTATGGCATCCTCTGGGGCAACACAATCTGAACTCATGACCATAACCATTGTGAAAGGAGCTGATGGGTTTGGGTTCACCATAGCTGACAGCCCCACTGGACAAAGGGTGAAGCAGATACTGGATGCCCAGGGCTGTCCAGGCTTGTGCGAAGGAGACCTCATTGTAGAGATTAACCAGCAGAATGTGCAGAGCCTCAGCCACACCCAGGTTGTGGATCTACTGAAAGAATGTCCAATGGGAAGCGAGACATCCTTGGTCATCCAAAGGGGAGGAGGTAAGTCAGAGATGCTTGACCATGCTGCTGTAATTTTGTAATTGGGATCTGACCTTTCTAACATGTTGAAAATAGTTGAGCCAGTCCTCACTAAACTTCTGTTGTCCTCAGAGCACTGAAACCACAGGAACCCATGATACAGTTTATCTTCATAATGTTGCAATTATTTGTATGTCAAAAACAACTGGCAAAATATGTCTGGTTGAACAATTCATTTTTACAAGTACAATTAGCATATTATGTAGAATATCTAATTACTAATTTTGATGAAGCATGTAGTTGCTCAAAGTACTCTACAGTGTTGGTAAAAGTGAGTTTCTGTTAGTTTGAGCATTAATTACTGTACTGTATGTGGTCTTTTCATATAGTGAGCCTACTGTTTTTTATCATACTTCAGAATTATTTACTAACTCCTTGTACTACACTAGGTGATTTTTGTACTACACTAGGTGATTTTGTACATTTGTAAACTCAGAAATTTGTAATGTTCTTAATTTTATAGTATTCCTTATACTGTGGCAAATAAGCATGTAAAAAGCCACATATTATTCAATTATATGTGAGTAGAATCCTACCCACAAATTGTGATTATTGTAACCTGTGCATCAAACTCTAAAATGTCAAAAACTGGCAAATTTTGGTACATTAAAGACACAGAAGATGTACTAGCAATGCTCAGGTTTCACAAAAAAAGTAAAACAAGGATTTAAAAATGTCTTTGTACTTATCTATCTAAATTCCTTGTTGCAAAAGCAGTTTGTTTTGCTTGTGCAATGACACTTTTTATTTTCAGTTATTGTAACACATTCTGACCGTCTTTCTTTATTGCAGTAAACAAATCCATTGCCATAATACAGTATTTGCATTTAACATAATGGAAGTCACTTAGAATGAAATCACGTCAGCTACAGAAAGTCAAACATCAAGGTTCTTTGTTGACTTCCCTTGGATTCTGTTCATGATTGTGATGACTCCAATGCTTCTTAAATTATTTTTTTATCAAAACTAATTAGTACCATATCTGAAGTCTATGCAATATGCAGAAGATGCTCTTACACGTTATGTCAGGCTCATTTATTTGCATCAGGTCTCCGGAGTGTGTGTATTTTAAAATTCACTCAAGCAAGTGGCTGCAGTGAGAAGTTACTAAAAAGATGCAATGGCAGGTTAAATGAAGCAATATATTTCTATGTACTTCTGGTAAAGAGAAAACATGCTATTTTAGAAACATTACCTCCGTGTAGTCTCATGATACTATGACATTATACTTGTAGTTTCACACTGTCTACAACAGGATGATAACCTTTAGCTACACTTAATTTAAGTGTGAGTGACTATACTGTACAAAACCTTCCTTTTGTTGAGCTGGGAGCTGTGCATCAATGTGATGATTATCCCAGGATGTGTTTTCCCCAACAAAAAGAACAACCAAAGAAGAGATGGTCTGTAATTGAAAATGGAGGAGTAATTTCTCTTATTTTTTTTTCCCCAGTCACACTCAGTAAAGTCAGCTTGGTGGATTACTTTGAAGTGCTCAGTGTAGGGTTGCCACCTGATCCCGTAATTGCAGAAGGCTCTGAAACAGGTCAGGTTTTTAAATGTGCTTTTACATTGCAACTTAACTGATTTCATTCTATTGTGTATATTAAATGAGAATGGCTAAATTCTAGAAATGAAAGACGTGTGTTTTACTGCTTGTCTACAGGTTATGTATAGCATTCCACTGCATTAATTTCTGGAATGTTCAAGACTGGGAAGTAGTTTATAAAATAAGCTGGGCAACAAGGCTCTGATGCATTAAGAGTAAGGATGTGTGAAAGTTTCAATACTGTTTGTTGATTGATATGTTTTAAAAATATTCAGTAACTGGTACCAAAAAAAAAAACCTTGAATCTGGGAGTGTTACTGTACGTGAGATTTTGTCAGTTGTTATCATTATACACTGTTCATCTGTGATGACTGAAGTAATTTGCAAGGATATACTGTAGTAGTCACTGTGTTGAATGTTTGCATTTGTGGTAAAAGAGTGAATTCAAAAAAGTCTTTCCTTAATTAAATAGAGAGAAAGCTAACCTTTTATGCTTTGGGGGAGAAGTGGGCCTTTAACAAGGTACTACAGTACAGTATGTTGAATTTGTGTAATTTAATATTTAAAGATGATTTTATAAACTCCTGTCTATCTCAGTGTAGTAAATGAACCTGTCAAACAAACAGTTAAGACTTTGAAGTGTTAGTTTTTTGCAGCGTTAGTCAGGAGAGGGCAGTGGATCTTCTAAATAGCACAGTAATTAACCGTTTTATGACCTTAAGGGTAAATCAATTGATTATGATGTACAGTACTGTAGTCCAAGTCTGTGGCCTACAGTACATCAGTGATAATCATTGTTCTTGGTCCTGAAATACCCATGTGCCTTCCAGTTTCCTTTCCATATGACCCCTTAATTTAACCAATTGACTGATTTTTATCAATTGATTGTTTTCCGCTTTTCTCCAGATATTGTCTCACAAATAGTCTGTCTTACAGTTGTCATGTTCAAATAATCTGCTTTACAGTATGTTCTATGGACAGAAGGAAAAGAACTCAGTTTCAAGGTGGTTTAAAATTTTTGGTCCCCTGTATATTTCTAAACAACTCGTATTGTTAATTAATTAAGGTGTGTAGACTCAGGCACTCTCATAATACATCTTAATGGTATTAAGTTTATACAAATATGAATTTAGTGGTAGTCAACAAATGTATCAAAAAAGTCATCCTAATTGAGATGCCATTTGAAACCCAAATCTGACACTGGTTTGTTACTAATTTATAAACGCATTCTAATTATTAAGGAATTAAACAGTTATGGGTAAACAGTTCAATTTCAGTATATAATGAAGCAAACTAACAAATGTACAGTTACTGTAAGTCAGTGCCTCCAAGACCAGCATTGGAAAACCCTGCTTTACAGTAAATATTGAAGCAGCTGTCCATCCTGGGCAATCAAAGTACAGTAGGTTTTTTAGTCAAAGCAACAAGATGTGGGAGGAGAAGCATAGTGTGCCTAGAGTGGAGAAATTAAATAAAGACCTGTGAAATGACAATTAAAATGGCCTTTTTAATTTTCTGCAAGAATACACCCCATAATTAAAAATGCTTTCGTTTGTGAAACCTGAACAGAAAATGCCTACAAGGCCTGTTTGTATTTGCTAATTGGTATTTAGACTGTAAGGATAGTTTAAAACAGTTCTGCAAACAGAATCGTGTTGTGCATTACTACAGTATATATATATAATTGATTGCAAGAATGGTTTATAAAAAAAATAAAATCTCACTATACTTTGCAGATAAACACATTTTAACCTTTAAAGCTTATTTGTAGGATCTTTTTGAAGATATGCCTCTAATATTCAATAATTATTTCATTTGTATTTTTCAACTGTACTGCATAAAAACTCAATCATGTGTCTAGTTAGTATTCAATGAAGTTTATAGTTGTGTTTTGTGTATAGCAAAGCAAAGAGGAAATCTAATCAGTGAAATCAGGCATAGTCATATAATACCCCTGAAGAGCATCTGTTTAAATTTTGTAGCCTAAGGGCACACAGCTGATGTCCACTTACAAAAATTTATTCCAGGTGAATGAGACCAGCTTGCCATAAGATGTTGTCTGGCACAATAGTGATGACTGTGACACAATTTAAACCTGTTAACCCAATGCTTTGTTTTTATTCTAGTTTTAAAACTGAATCTACTTTCTAATTAGTTTGTAAATTAAAAACTATATATTTTGTCATTAAAGCAATGAAGTAAACAAGAGTTCCACTGTAGCTCTAAAACAAATAATAGTTTATTTCATTTTTGCATAGGTTTGAAATAATCTAGGATATTGTTGGATAAACCTTATATATAGTAAATGCATGGATTTCCACAAATAAATAAAGAATACATATTAATTTTATTTTTGGCCTAAACACTCAAACACTTTCTTTTTACTAGAAGAGAACTGTCTCTGTCTTAAAACATTTTCATTCTTTCCATTCATATATAAATCTCATCCATACACGATAAATTAGTCCAGTCGTTGTGTGACGATCAGGTCAGGAATATCCCCTCTGTTCATACTGGAATTGTTGCTTCTTACTCTTATTGTTTTTTCCTTCATTAGAACTGTTTGGCATAGAGTATTAAACAAAATGTTAACATCACACATGTCAACATACAAAGGTTCATACTGTATATTGTTTTGTATTCTATGCTGGTGACATTCTCTTGCTTCTTTCTGACACATCATTAGAATGTAATAAAGGTTAACCAATGAGAGGAAGTAATTTGTTCCATCCTGTCCCTTTAATGAAAGTTCAAATCTTGACAAAACAGAATGTAGTCCTGATTGAGATATAGCTTGGGACAATACTTTCTCTCCCTGTAACAATAGCACACCAGCTAACACATTTTAAACGTGCTTGCAGAATACAACACATTACTGGCAGTTCCAGATAAAAGGTACAATACAGCCTACGCTTTCTGTCACAGAGGTACACAGAACGTACCTGATACCCACCTCCACATGCTTTGGGATTGTAGTGTGACAATTTTTGGGGGTAGTGACAATTGTGCTTTTGGATGTGACTGTTATCCGTGTCTCACAGAGCCCGGCGCTTAACAATTCCCAAGTTACTATTAGTCTTCTGACATTCTGTCTTCTGTTTGCTAACAACAGGCTAACAACAGAAAAAAAAACTCTATCCTACTGGTTTGGTCATCTGCAAAACTCATTCTTACAGAAGAAATTAAAGCTAGATTATATTTCACTTGTGCAAAAATTCTGACAATGTGGTTAGATTCTTTCTTTCATCTTCAGAACCTGCTTTTCCTTTTTCCTTCATTTACAAGATAAAGGTTTATTCCACGCTGAAAAGAGAGGAAAGGAAACACAACGTTTTGGCTGTGGAGCCTTCTTTTGGTGAAGGAGAAGCGTCGAAGAAGGCCCCACAGCTGAACCATTGTGTTTCCTTTCTTCTCTTTTCAGCTTGAAATAAACCTTTAACTTGTTCCTCTGCAGCCTACGCATGCTGTCGCAGCTACCTACTGTACTTGAACTTTCCTAATTTATTATACTGTATATTTAATTTTAAAAATGTACTCAAAAAGTACTTATTCACAAAAGTGCATTGCAGGTCTTAGTCCTGAACTGAATCTTTGCTACAGGTAAGAAACCTCAAGTGTAGTAGTTAAAAAATAATGATGGATGACTAACCTTTGTGGATTACGCTTATGTGGAAGGTAGGGGAAATAAACATGCATTATAATAACAACTCATAGTAGGTTCCAGAGCCCCCTGGGAGAATGGCCAAAGACAAATAAGTCATGTAAAGGTTAAATCTTTAGGATATAAGCTTTAAATATGGTAAACATCTAAGACATGAACAGGATGCATGGTGAGTTTTCACTATCAGTACTGAAGTGACATCAATTTTATGTTATCAGGACAGGGTATTTTTTGAATAATGCATGCAATGTATACTGCAGTGATATGTTTTGAATTCAGAAATGCATCTACATAGAAAAAAAGATCCATGTTTTTTTAAATAGGTAATTTCTGATGGATGCAATTAATGGTTCAATCAGGCATCTTTGAGAGGTTGGATCCAAAATATTATGTTTGGAAATAATTAATTCAAATTGAATTCTTTGGGTAGTAAAGAAATTGTAAAAGATTTTCTCAGCTTTTGTTAGTCCTCAAATTGTGCCACGAAAATACTAATAGTGGTAGTATAGATGATCTAAAATAGTTCTTTTATTGCCTATCTGCAATAGCTGTTTTCTCTGCATGGTGTCAATTGAACAGTTACTGGATTGAAAGCTGTTTTTATTCTTTTTTCCATTTGATGAATTTGTAAAAATATCTTTGGGTGGTTGAAATGAATGCTTTAATACAAACACTTCCAAATGTCACAGGAAAGCTGTATTGCTTTTTTGCACGCCTTTGGAATACTGTGTTGAACACACATTATGTAAATAAGATATCATATACTGTTTATTAATTTCCTTTTCTAAACATTCTTATTTGCCTGAAACAGCACTCTCTCTGGTCTGTTTTAGAACAGAAATGTACTTGTCCAGTACCTTGCCCAGAGGTTCTTGTCCATTCTCACCATTATTCAACATCACTCACTTTGACATATAGAGGTTCAAATGTCAATCTTTATTAACCTTTTTGTATTTCCTTAACATCTTGTTATATTTTTTATAATTGGTAATATTTCAAAGGAATTAAGTTTTTTTCTGTTATACTGTATTTCATGTGCTTTCCTCATTTTTCCCTTGTTAATTATCACTAGTTCCATATCCTGTTCTTTACATTTTCAGTGATTTTCCGTTTGTGGTTTCTGATGACATCTGAAGGCTTCTGAAAAGATTTTAAGTGCTTTGTGCCTTGTGGGGATGTATCAATGTTTTGAATCAGCTCTACATGTCACTGCAATGTGTCAGGCTAATTTGCTTCCTCACCACATTTCCTTGAAATTAGCTTTGGGAAATCTTGTTCAGGTCAGATGGAAAGCATGGCAAATAACAATCTAAATAGGAAGAAAATAGTGGAATTA